TGCAGTTTTTATCAGCTCTCTAGTGTGGGGAAAGTACTGGTCTGGTTCCCGGGATAATCCTCCCCCAATCCCGTCACTGAGAGCTCCTGCGACTGTTCCAACCCAGAGGCTTGGCATTGGCTTTGTTTCCTCGGAAAAGAACAAAATACAGGGTGTGGCATGCAGGCTCCTGAGGGTGGGGCAGGCTGTGTCACCCAGGGTGCATTTTTTTCTTTTCCTGTCCTGTGGCTGCTGGGAGAGCAGCTACTTCCTCTCAGGAAAAATGGCCATTTCGGTTTGGGGGCCGATGAGCAAATGTTCCTGGCTGCTGTATTTCCAGGTCTCCCTGCAGTGCTTCCACCGCAGCATCTCCTTAGGCGCCTCCCTCCCTGCACCAAAGCCTTGGGTGAGTAGCTGCAAATGAAAACTCTTGTGCTCTGGGTTAAAAAACAAACAACTAAAACAAAACAAAACAAAACAAAACAAACGAGATGAAACTGCAGCTTTCTCTACAACGGGCTCCAGACTCCACCAGGCCAGCAGCCCTGCCGCCTTTCACTGCTGGATGTTACGTGGGCTGCAGGTCTCCGCTCTGGTGCTCCGGGCTGTGGAGCCCAGCTGGGTTCCCGTCTCTATCTTCTGAGGAAACAGACCCTCCCATAGCCAGGTGCTCCCTCCTCCTCTCGGCCTGCCCGCCCGCCTGCTGCCCCTGGAAGCTGGGTCTGCTCCTCCCATGACCTCACCTTTCCTACTGGTCTCCAGGTGTGTTCTGTCCTTCCTTGATATAAGTCTCCTCAGCTGAACCTCAGTTGGTAATTCCAGGCGAATGTTCTCCAATTTTGTATTTCCAGTCTGGCCCTGGGATGAGGTACATGACAGGTCTGCCTATTCGGCCACCTTTTTTGCTGCTGTGGTCGAAAAGGGGCCACATGCTGACCTGACAAGCTCAGGAGAGGCCTGCATGGCAGTTTTGCAGACCTAAAGTAACCACAAAGGATGTCTGAAATTAAACGACTAAAGCAGTTATGATGGGCAGTTACGTCCTAAGCCGATATCTTCACTGATAAGGTCGACCTTTACCGTAACTGAGCCCATCTGTCTTTTTGCATCTATGATAACAAGTCCTTGGGATATCTGGGTAACTTGTGACTTCTCTTTTTATGAAGCCCCTGGGGCACAACCAGGTGTGCTGGGTCCCAGGACAGATACCACAAATTCCTTCATCATCATGTTAATTGTTCCTGCACCCATCTAAGTACTGTCCATCATTTTACTTTTTATCCTATCACAGAGGTTTCCCCGCTTCACTTAATCCCACCTCCTTAAATCTGTCACCAATGAATTTCATGTATAAATACAGATGTAACCCTGCCATTCTCCGGAGCACTATCTCAATTCGTTGAGGTTCTGCTTCCCGGCATATGTCGACAGTTTGGCTCAAATAAACTCACAAAAATTCTTTATAGGTTTCAATGGTGTTTTTACGTTGACACTGCTAGCATAAATTATTATTAATAATATAATTATTATCCTCTTGCAATTTTTTTCAGTGATTTTTAATGACCATCAATCTTCAGTCCTGGCTCTGTCCAGCCCTAAAGTGTTGGCTTGTCTGAAGTTACACCACCTCTGATCAAGCCCTGGCTTCCTGGCTTACCAGCTGAGAATGGTCCCCAAACTCTCCAAGCTTCCATCTATTCATCTGAGAAATGGGGATTAGGATTATGATGATGATCAAATGCCATAATCCAAAGCAGAGTGAGTGAACCATACATTCTGCACTGTCTACAGGTAAATGCCACAGGGATTTTGGATGCATTTTTCTCCCCCATTTTGCTTTTCTAGCTATACTTCCTAAGTTTTTCATAATGATTACCTGTTTGTTTGTTTTTAACTAACAAAAAATAGTAACAGAAGAAACTGCTGGAAGAATAATGGCCAATGTCTCACTAAGAACCCTTAAAAACAGCCACTACCAATTTATTCACTGAAAGCTCTAAATGGGAGGAAAACAAGCCAAATATTAATGATGTGCTTACTGTCCCATCCACAGGAATAGGACATAAGGAACGGATGACATTATTTTTCATGAGCCAGGTAACTGGTTTAGTTAATTGTTTTATTTGGTGATTTATATTCACACTAGAGGCCCAGTGCCCAAATTTGTGCACCAATGGGGTTCCTCAGCCTGGCCTGCTGGATCAGGCTGAAACCAGCTCTGCAACATCCCCCAAGGGGTCTTGGATTGCAAGAGAGCACAGGTCAGGCCAAGGGACCCCACTGGTGCACAATTGGGGCCAGGGAGGGACACGGGAGGTTGGCCAGCCCGGGAGGGACCGCGGGAGGGCTCCAGGGCATGTCCGGCCTATCTCACTCGGTCCTGATTGGCTGGACCCCAGCAGCAAGCTAACCTACTGGTCAACTGTCTTCCCCCTGGTGGTCAGTGCATGTCATAGCAAGCAGTTGAGCAGACCTAGCATATCATTAGCATATTACACTTTGATTGGTTGAACGGACAACTGGACACTTAATATATTAGGCTTAATTCCCCCTTAAAGGGGGAATTTCTATACCCAGATATCTAATCCCCAAAAATATATGGCTGGCATTGTTCTCCTACAGAAAACTAAAGTCACTTCTACAGGCATCTATTAACATAAAAACATCGAAACCTGTAAAGAATTTTTGTGAGTTTATTTGAGCCAAACTGTCGACAATTGCCAGGAAGCAGAACCTCAATGAATTGAAATAATGCTCTGGAGAATGGCGGGTTACATCTATATTAATACATTGCAATCAAAGGAAGGGTCGTAGATGGGTTACATGAAATCCATTGGGGATAGACTAGAGAGGCGGGAGAAAGCAAAGGGAGGGTGGGGAATGGGGAGGAGGAACCCCTGGGATTGGATAAAAAGTAAAATGATAGGCACATACTTAGGTGGGTGCAGGAACAATTAACATGATAACAATGAAGGAATTTGTGGTCTCTGTCCTGGCGCCCAGCACATTAGGTTGTGCCCACAGGGTCCAGAAAAAGGGAAGTTACAAGTTACCCAGACATTTCAAGGGTATGTTATCAGATAGGCTCACTTAAGGTAAAGGTTGACCTTGTCAGTGAAGATACTGGCCCAGGATGTAACTACCCACCATAACTGCTTTTAGTTAAAGTTTCATTTCAGACCATCCTTTGTGGTTACTTTAGGTCTCTGAGTTTGCAAGACCGCCATGCAGGTCTTGTCAGGTTAGTATGTGGCCCTATCGTCCACACATCTCATTTTTCTGACACAAAATGACTTCTTCCTGATTCTTCTCAACAACCAGTTTTACGTCACCTGTTCTTCTATTTATTCCAGCTCATTCTCCCCAGAGAGAGTCTTGCCACACTAAGCGGGTGCGTGCACCTCTGCTCATCTCTTTCTCCTGAATGCCTTCCCTTTGTCTCTGGAAACTAGGAGCTTTTGAATGCTAACTCCTCAGCTGCATCTCTAGAGGCACTTTGCTACTAAAGCCATTGTCTATGGAAGGTCAAGGCCACCTGGGGTCTTTTAAAGGCAATCAGGAAGCCGGTTATCAGACTGGCTTTCGGAAGATGTCTTTAAAAGGGAGGAAGTCAATGGATTATTAATGAGTTTGTAGAAAGGATTTTGAACATTTACTTAGACACTCAGTGCAGAACCGTGAACTCACTAGGGAGCATAAAGGAGAGGGTCAGATGGAGGTTGCTGTGGGAGGGGGAAGGCCCAGCAGTGGCCCTGCACGTGCTGAGTCAGCGTGATGAGAAGGCCCCACCTAAAAGCAGGAGGCAGCAGCAAACAGCAGGGCCTGCCCATCAGAACACATGTCACAGGAGGAAGGACTTGCCCTTCCTTTCTCAGGTCACAGTTGTTATTAATCAAGTTGGAAGTCCAAGATGCATTCCTGCCCCTTACTCCACCTGGTTGAGACAGGCCAGTAAGCCAGGACAAGCGAAATAGGGAAACTGGGACAGATAGTTCAACAGCAGTAGACAGCCATCTAGAAAATCTAGATGCCAAGCAGTTGGCAGCCATCAGTAAACCCTGTCTTCCCTAAAACAGGGACACTTGAGAGTAAATGGTTCGAACTTCTCCCCAACCAGAAGGTAAATAGCTTCAATCACCCTATTCAGGGAGACAGATAGCAGGAATCCATTAGTGCCATTTGCCGGCCACACCCAAGGACAGATTTAGTTAAAAGAATAAATCTCATTTTGGTACATCAGCATAAAGCTGATGAATATTCTATTGCGATCCTCCCCTAAACACCAGCCTTTGAAGCCAGCAAAATGAAGGACCCAGTGTATGCTCTCTCCTTCCCAGGAGCACACCCGTCCCTCCCCCACCACTGCTTTCCCCACAGTCACGCATCTCCTAAACCAGTGATGGCGAACCTTTTGAGCTCGGTGTGTCAGCATTTTGAAAAACCCTAACTTAACTCTGGTGCCGTG